AAAAAAATTTTTACCAACTATTCCATTTGGAATCTAAAATAACTTTTTATGCTCTATCCAACCATATAGGTCTCAATTTTTTTCGAGGGTAACACTTGGGAGTCATTCCATATAAGTGAAATTTTGAAATTGATAAAAAACTTACTCTTTCAGAAAGAAGACAGCGGCAACGCTTTGGTCGGTGAAGAAGCTTATCACTCCATCAACCTTAACATCAGGAATTCAGCGAATATTCATTAGGTTTTAAAAACTCACATATCTCAGATTTCTTTGTGGCTTTAAAGTGGAAATAATTGACATACTCTCGCAAATAATTGCTTGCGTTTTCTTATCAATGATTTTCAAAAAATCAATTTTCTTCAACCGGGAATCTTCCTCTGGGAGAAGCACATAGTGTCGCTTCATGATGCCATTGGCAGAATGGAAGGCGCCGAGCTGAAAACAACGAGAAAAAATTAATAAAATCCTCTAGAATAGATCAAAACATACCGAATGACAAATCTCGTGAATAATGTGAGACATGAGCTCACTCAAGTGCTCTCGATGCTTGTAAGTCCACTCATTCTCATTTTCTAGACTAGCCGGAAGATGTTTCATAAATCTCGGCGGAATAAAGAAATAGTTCATAAATTCTCGGTTGCATGATGTGAAGTGGGTGAAATTTCCAATAATGAAGTTCAAGAATATGTCTGGTTTGTCACGTCTGAAATGTTTTATGGGATTGTCTGGAAGACCTACAGTACATGCCAATAATATATACAACAACGTATTTTTTGAGTGATTTTCAATCATGTTGGCTATTGTCAAGAGTCTTTAGCTCGGCAATCAGGCTTCTTATCAATTTCAATTTTTTTAAAATTTTTTTTTGGAAAAATTAGAGAGCGTGAAACAGATCTAATAAATTGAAACTTTTGCATCCATAAAATTTTTATCACAAAAATATGTCGAAAAGAGCTTGGTAAACAGCTCAAAAACTAGAAATATTTCAAAAATTTTGGTAAATGCAACGGTTATAATTTAGAATTGTTTTACACCCTCAGAAGTTTTCGAAATGGTCAAAAACTTCACATATATACAACGGGCTGGGCTGGGGCGGGCTTTTTCAGAAAATGTTTTACCTGTCTTTTCAAAAAAATGTTTTTGAGGTCAACTAAAAAAATGGACGACTTTTCTGTCAAGTCAAAAACTTTTCAAGGCAAAACTGTCTATAAAAAATAGTTTTTCACAAAAAAATTTGAAGAAATTTCTGAAATTTCAAAACATTTTTCAAATTTGAAGCACCCAGGCCTGCCGGGCCGGGCCGTGGAGTCACGGGACCGGGTCCTGATTTTGCAAGTATGCTTAACAGCTGGGCTCCAGACTCCTCAAAATGGTAAAAATGGCAAAAAAAACAAAGAAAAATACGCTGTTGTGTACGTTATCAGCCGGTACTGTATATATGGTTTTCTTGAAAGCTGACAAGGTACAACAATGAACTTTTACTCCAAAACCACGGAATTCAAAATCGTCCCTGAGGGAAAGAAACAGCTCGGCGAATTTCGTTCCAGCATAGTTGACTGAAAATTACTGTATTCCTCCCTTAATAGAAGTCCACCAGAACCGTCAACTTTGAGCTCAATTGTCTCGATTCTTGTGAAAGATATCAGCAATTTGTCAACTGAATATTAGCAATATCACGATAAAATTATCAGTTGACAACTTTTTGATTTTTTCACAGAAATCGCAAGAATTGAGCTCAAATTTAACGGTTTGAGCGGGCTTCTATAGAAACAAATACGGTAATCATACTGAAACGTATCTTTAGGATTTTTATTACTCACCATATTTCTCAATTTTCGCAGAATAATCATAGCTTTTCGAGTGCGATGGATTCGCAATTATTATCATCAACCGAAGCGGTTCTTTGTCGACTTGACCCATGACCGTCGACATTGTTGTGACGAGAAGTGTAACCTGAAAGTGTAAGATGGAACTGTGAAAAGAAAAAAGGAAGTGCCGCCTTTCTCGTGACTATCGAAAGATTCTAATCAGTGGAACGGTAAGTTTTCTGAAATTGAGAAAAAAAAACTTTGTTCAGGAAACCAGAAGAGAGAATACTTTCGCTACTTGGTGTAAACCAGGCCAAGACTAAGTTTCGTGCGAGAATCCAAGTTTTTCTTTCTTGCAAAATTATAAACTTCGTCTTGGATTTTTGAGTTCTGATGTGAGATTATAGGTTACAGGAGTTTGAAATTTCAAAATTCTTGAAAATATTCTGCAAAACAAGAGCTTCAAAAAAGGCTCAGAATGATTCTGAAATCGGGGAGTTGTCAATAACAACAGTTTGCACGTTTTTGATCAGAAGAACATTTTTTGTTGTACAGCACACTTTGATCTTGAAGAAACAATCGGCAACAACATTGGAATCATAAGGAAAGCTGGGAAACTGATAAAAATTGTTCCTGATATACTGTATCGGTCGTCGCCGGCAATTTTCTTGATCAGATTCTAGATAAGACCTCGGATCATGCGGATCAAACCCCGCCAAGTTTATGAAAAGGTTCCGACCCAGTAGTATTTCCATTTCCAACCAAAATCTGACTATGTCCGGCTACACGGCCGTTTCTTGGGCAATTTTTGACCATAAGCTGGCCAATCGCTATCCAAAAGCCGAACTCCTTTCTGCTTCTGACCAGAATCTGTAAGCCGACAGCCGAGGTATCATGGCACTGTTTGCTCATTCTTATGATGTTTGGAGTTAAAAATGTTTGGTGCCATTCCAGTGAATAGCTGTGTTTTTTATTCATTCTTCAACGACCGGCTTGGGGGCCATAATTGGTTTTTTCAGAACTTTGTTTTTTCCTACGATCCATCTATTTGAAGTCAGTGATCTGTTGAAAGCTGGCTATGACTAATTATCATACCGGCTTAAAACAGAACAGAAATGTTTTATTGATTGCTTAAACCGGTCGATAAAATATTCAACCAGTATGAGACCGGCAGTGAAAACATTAAAGATCATTACTCACAAGTATCGCTCAAATTTTGACCATCGGCAAGCGGCAACGAATGCGGTCCGGCTTTGTGGGCTCAGCACGGAGTGAGTTCCTGTCAAAGTATGCGGCTCCTCCGTACACCAATTGAACAACCACAGCGTCCCATTGCAAGTGTTGGGGGATGGTAAAACTGAATTCGAAGCCACAGGCAAAGAAAAATTGATTGGTGTAGTTGGTTCTAAAATTCCATGACCCATCAGACCTTCATAGACCGTTCGAGACTTACTGGCTAAGGACCACAATCGTGTGAATGGAGTAGTTTGTCCAAAGATCCAATTTGTTGTCCTTCATCGTGCAGACGACTTCTGGTGGGATTGCAGTAATCTTGTTGGACAACGATTCCGACAGAATCCTAGCTGAAATGTCGTCCAGAAGGTCAACTAGACGGAGTGTGTTGTTGTTGTTGTTGAAGAGGGTGATCACTCCAGACATGATTCCAGTGTCAGCATGATAGGCTCCGAGCTGCAAAATTTTTCGTTTTACTGGAAAACTGTGTTATTTTTGATTTTCCTAGCGGAGACAGTTGGCAGAGTTTGGTGTAACATATTCATTCAAATCAGACTAACTTCCTGTTCAGCATACATGTAAAATTCCGGGCCCGGCCTGGAAGGCGCGGTAGCAAAAATTTTGTCATTTTAAACCGAATTTTGAGCTCTCAATACATTTTTCTATAATTTTTTTGTGCTTTTTGGATTGTTTGTCTGTTTGATCAAAAAATATCAAAAAAAAACTCGAAAAAAATTTTTTGATCGAAAAAAATCACATAAGGATCCCCTTATGTGTTTTTTGAAATTTTCAAAACTTGTGGAAGGACAGGCCCGCCGGGCCGGGCCTCCGAAATTTGGGAAAAAGCCCGGCACGGCCCGGCCCGGCCCGTTACAAGTATGCTGTTCAGAGGAAATTTCACACGAACGTCACTGACCATGATCCGCTATTCTGCCGGTTCTGGGAACGTTCCGACCTTGAACTGGCCAATGTTCGTCAAAAAGCCGAACCTCTCAACTTTTGACCTGAAGTTACAAGTCGAAAGTTGAGCACGAGCTTCACAAAAATCTGCAGAAGAAAAATCTTACCATGTGAAAAAACTCGTGGAAGAAGTGATTCAAAAACCACTCGTATTTATCCCTCGCATACTCCGACATATTCGCAACAACCATCTCATCCGGTAGAATGGCTAGTTCCGATATTGGAATTCGAATTTGTGCACGGTTTCTGACCGCATGAGCTCTCAATTGGAAATCGTTGAAGTTTTCGACCTGGATCACAAACTTCGCACCATCAGCCTCCACACTGAAAAGAGCCTTGTGATCGAAACATTTCGAATAATGAACCCACTTCTCCTCCTTTTGCAGTTGCACGCTCCTGTACTGAAGTTGGGAATGCTGCACCTGGTGGTCGTACTCCTCCACAAACTTGTCAATGCATTGAAGAACATACCGCACTAAAAATATTTTGTTTTTGTGATTAAATTTACTTTAATTACTCACAAATCTTATCTATTTTTGCCATTTCCTCTCTCGACGCGATTTCTCCGTTGGTTCCTGGCACATACATTCCGGTGAGTACGTAATTCGGTTTATCAATCAACTCCGTCATAATTTACCCGCGATTTGAGCTGAAAAACAAGAAATTTGGTTGAAAATTGAACAAAAAAAAAGGGAAAATAGAGGTAAAAGAAGATACGAACGCCGTTCTACGCGCACGCACAGCGCGCCTTGCTGCATGATGCGCGTCAATAACACCGAATGTGCGCGCACACTCAATGGAGCAAATATGCGCACACTAAGCAAAATATGTGGAATGCATTGCTCGAGATAATGAACACGTGGAGAATTTTTCGAGAAAAAAAAAGAAAATCAATATTTTTCTTTAGCCGAAGCATGTTCCGGCTTTACTACAAAATTCTATTTTCTGGAAAATATTATGGTCTTTTAAACAAAATGCGGTTAAACTAATTGTGAAAACAATGGTCCTGTGCTCTTTTGAAAACAATGGTCCTCTGCTCTTCCCTATAGCTTGAACTGGTTGATTGCTGTCTTAATTTCTTAACCTCCCTCTTTATCTTAAGAAAATCCATTCAGATATCCATATTCAAAATTGTCCTCGACTTCGATGATAAAACTTTCGCCATTGGTATCAGGATCTGCAATCTGGATAGTGACCGGGTTTCGTCCTACCTGCTTCGTCGTTATCAGGAGATTATCAGAAGTTTCATCGTCTTTTCAACGTCGTCAAGTATCGTGTGACATTTTTATTAGGCTTTTCATGATTATTGAATGGGATGTTTTGTATTTTCATTGTGTTGGTGTGTTTTCTCGGTTTATTATTGTGTTGTATTACCTTGCAAATTTGTTCATTCTTGCGCTACAAAAGGTTTAAATAAAAAAACAATATCCATCCAAAAACAATACTTTTGTCTTCGACAATTGTCGTCTTAATCTGATTCCATCATCCTTAGCTTCTTTCATCCTAAGCTTCTTTGTGGTATAAATTCCTGAGCAGTTTCTTCCTCCCAAACAGCGTATACATAAGTCAAAACATATCCCTCGAGTTGGTCTTCTGGCACATCATAGTTTGAACCCATATGAACAATAACTGTGACAAGTGAATCAAAAACAAAACTAATGTTTGCTCTAAAAGAAGATCACTGTTTACGCGGATTTTTAGCTCAATTATCTCAGTTCTTTCAAAAAATATCAAATAATTTTTAACTGACGATTTGTTTATTATAATATCACCAACATTTTATCAGTTTACAGTTTTTGGATATCACTCATACGAACAAAGATAATTGATTTCAAAGTGTACGTATATCGTGGACTTCTATCAAATAAAGTTCTAGAGTACGATACACAAGAAGCTCATCAACATGGTTTTGAGCTCATGGAGCCGGATTACGCCACCGTTGTGAAACGAATGAAAAGAATGGGAATCCATCAACACGGGGAAACAGCTGATGGCATCTACGATTACGAACTCCGGAGGAAGCTTGAGAACAAAATTGGGATAAAAAACAGAAGACATCTGGTGCATATTATGGACACCTTCAACAAAGCTGAGATAGTCTATCGATATCGGCGTATTCTAAAACCAATACCCTGCACGGAGAACATTCGAAGGATTCAAGATCGGAACAGTCCGGTTGACAGGCATCGCCTACTTCAGAAATGCTGATTTTGCGGAAGCATTCACTGAGATATGTAGCAGTGCCAAAAATATCATACTCTCTCCTTTGAATCCGGAATTCCCTACATCGCTACTCACCAACAGCCGTGACTATGTTCGTTGGAGAACCATGCCTATCACGAACCGTCTTCCACAAGGTGCATGAACCTGTTCTTGAGAATCTGGAGAGCGGGAGCAAGCTGAAGACTCGAACACTTCTGTCTCGTTGCCACTGGAACCATGGATATCGAAGCCGTGTTAGATGATTTGGAGCATACGAAGCAACCTCAAGAGCTCTGCAAAACTTTCAAGGCTTTTGGTGATGAAAGTCAGGTGACGGAAATTACTGTCAATGGAGGATGCGATGTGAAGGCAAGGGATGGTTGTGTGGCAACCATCGTGGTCACGGAGATTGCAAGAACCCCGGATGGACCATTTTACGATTGGTACAGATGTTCGTGCATCCGATTGAAATCGAGCCCGAAGTTGATGGTTTGACTGGGCTCCTATCCGAGTTGACCACACAGTGATTCTGCGCTCTGCTATTATTTTTACTTGCCTTGTTTTTTTCTTTGCTTTTCTTGCTTGGTTTCTAGCATTATTGCCCAATTCTTTTGCAACAAAAACCCGGCTTCCATGAAATCCTGCAATATTTTTTCGCTCTTTTTTGGATAGTTTTTGCAGTTTTTCTTTTTCCAAATTGCATTTGTGGACATAAAGACAAAAATATAAAAAATTATCTACCAAAGTTGAAAATTTCATTATTACAGAACAAAAGGAATATAATATAGATAGCGATATCAAAATTAATCAACGTCTATTATTACGGCAAATTTTGTCATAAATATCCGGGAAAGCGTCCAAACATCCCTCAGTAGTTCTCTTCCAATCGTAAAGAGTTCTATCAAACATTTCGGCATACTCTGCTTTAGGCATGTAAATATCCGCATACGTCATTTGGAATCTGAAAAATAAAATTGAAAATCTGAAAATAAAATTGAATAGAGAGAAGATATTCGAAGTTTTTTTTCCCACAAGTTCAACTCCTCGAGAGGCTTATATGAACGAAATTTCGAGAAAAAAACCAATACTCACCCATTTACAGAAATCACATATTTCTCAAGCACTCTTGTTGTTCTAGCATGATGGTATCCCTTCTTGGTTGTGACTCCATATGCTCCAACATCCACGTACATTTTGCTGGTCGCATTTTTGAGCCTCATAAGTCCAGGTTGATATTTCAGGTAGAATGGGCAGAGCCAAAGAGGATAGATCTAAAAAATTTTTAGAATATTTTTTGGAAAATCCTAAAAAACGGGACTCACCTCAACTTCCTCATCGAACAGTGTGACACATTCTTCTAAATTTTCCAATGGAATAAGCATGTCTTGAAGGACATGACTACGATCATAGAGCTTTCGGAGCACATTTGGTGTTGTTGCTTTCAGGAAGGCAATCTTTGGTGGACATAACCAACCCATTAGATATCGGAATATGATATTGTTTCCGAATGGAACAATATCTCTGAGCTCCCAGAAAATGCTCCTGGAGTGGCGGTGATAGTAGTCACGAAGTGGGATGTACTCAACGGATTGTTGTCTCTTATTGATCAAATCTTCCACATGGGTGTAGAACCATTTCTTGTACCAACGACCGATAGGATTGATCACTTCATCATCAGTCTCTGGACCATCGGAGAACCTTAACATTTCAAATTTGGAATTTTATTGTACAGTGGAATACTAACTCTCCCAACATAATACATCCCTTGTTCTTGTCAAACTGCAAAGCCTCCACAAAATCGACATTATCTGCGAATCTGTCACTGTCCGTTGTTAGCGATTGGCACATCTCGTTCAACGTCGACGTTTTCTTATAAGTAAGCTTCACGTACTTCTTGCATGGAATGATTTTTATGGTTGCTGCTGTCAAGAAACAGATAGTTCCCTGACTCCATGGGATTGCATAGAACAACGAGTTTCCCTCCTTTGTTTCCTTTGTTTTAGCGCCCTGGAATTCGAAAACACTGGTGAAGGTCTTCCCATACATTTTAACCCCTGAAATCATTTTATAAGTAATACTTTTCTCAATATTCCAATTTTCTAGAAAACGGAAGCAGCATCGCCATCAATCACCAACGTCCTTTCCTTCTCCTCTCTTCAACGACCCCCCGACGCTCGTCGATTCTCATGGGGAACCGTACGAGATGCGATCCGATTCAAACCAACTGTCCAGTCAAACCTGACATTGAAAATACTCAACATTAAGTGAGTGATGTGCGTTTTTCGATCTCATCTTGCAACAAAAATTTCTCAGACAAACGACTGAAGACAAGGATGCGACTGCGGCAAAAAGTCGCCTGAGATTGAATACAATTGTTGATAAGGTGGTTTGATATAGATCAATTTTGTTATG